TCGCCAACGAAATGGTGCCTCCCAACCAACTAAAACACAGTTGGTAGAACTGCATACATGGGGACTCATGGCAATGTCTCAAAATGAGGTGGCCTTTTCTCTTCAGCTTATAAAGTCATTATTGTTTCCTTTAAAGTGACATTTTGGGTCCCAAGAAGGCAACCTCATTTTGAGACATACCCACATGACCACACACTCGGTTACCTGACCCCCATAAGAGCCTTGGTGGCTTTCTGCACCAGCACCTCGTTCAATCCACCCTGAGGTGGATAGAGAATTTCGCAGAAGGCCTTCAAGTTGCCAGGCCTCTCCTTGGAGCGCAGGACTTTGGGCGGGGTGTTTGGACTGGAAAATGTATTCATGATGATTCAAATGATATATGACGTTTCCTTGGAATCAGGGTTTCAGAACTGATAGAAGTTCCCAAATGGATGATTTTGACTCCACATTTTTTTCCTAACAAGGTCAAGCATGAGGGATCGGAACTTCCCTGAAATTGGGAACCCCCATTGAAGGGAAAAGTTTTTTCTGTTGCACCCCAGTCATGTGGTAATTCACACATTGGATTTGGGAACCTTTTGGCATTTGATGTGATTGCAAAGCCCTTGGCATGACCATGTTAGTTACTTTCACGAATGGATTGCATGTCCTGGTAAATCCAAAGATTCGGAAGGCCCACCAAACTTCAAGAAATTCACTAACAAAGTTTCCTTCCAAGCCATGTGAAGAGATCGGATGGCACGCCCATACCCAATAGGATATACCTGCGACCTTTTGAGCTGCCGAGTGTTTCCACACCTGGGCGGGACAATTTCGTATCTTTTCCGTGGCCGATTCTGGTTGACAACAGATTGATAATTGGCCCTATATGTATCTGGACTAAAGAAAGCCACGAGGATGGCAAAAATTGGTTTAAGGCTAGCACACTCTTTGACGTCCCTGCTTGTCGATGTACTTTCGAACCATCTTCTTGGATTTCTGAACCCTCCTCCTGACAGCCTTGGTGATCTTTTTCCGGAGCTTGTAGGACCATGGTCTCAGCGACAAAGCTATCAGGACTGGGGTACAAAAATTCAAATGGATTGACTCGGTTGAATTGCCCACCAAAATACAATTTGATTTTGAATCAAGTTCAATGGATTGAATTTGAGGGCCCAGCGCTGTTCCAAAGACTTGGGTTGGTTTCATGTTCGGATGCCCATAGCTCGCCATATGACTCAGTGCCAGCAATCACAAATTTTACAAGGGCATGAATGAAAGGGAAATAAGTTAATAACTGCACAGTGTTTTGTATACATCGTAAATCCAATGTGATCTGATAAACCAACAGCCCTCAGCTCATCTAAGGTGATCACAATTTGGTGGTCAGCCAAGGGAATGCATTGCCGATGATTTTGGCCAACCAGCGCATGTAGGGGAACAATGGCATAAGACTTGAGATAGGTTGTTCTATCAAGACCAAAACGCATCTCACAAACGCCAACAGGAGAAGTAGGCAAAGACGCGCAGTGATCCTGAGCTGGTAGCTCGCTTGTGGTGGCAACATTAAAAACATATCGAATTTCCTTCTTTAAGAGATGTCAAACACAATTTTTTTCCACCAGTCGATATCGATATTTGCTGGATTTTGCTCATTTTAGTCATGACCCAAAACCCCTACCTCTAATCAATGGTAATTTCAGGATCCTAAAATGGAGGTACTGTACCATATAAGGCCATATTTTCTGGGGATTTTCCCTTACATAGGCCTTATATAGGCCTTATATGGTAGGTACCTCCATTTTAGGATCCTGAAATTCCCATTGATCTAATTGAGATAAAAATCTTGTTGGCCTCCTGAACGTAGGCCCGTCGCCCACCCAAAGGCCGAGATTTGGATCTCTGCGAGGTAAATAGGTTCAAGTAAATAAACGAGCCACAGGGCGGCCCAGCCGTGGCCAACCCACCTGGCTCCGTTTGCAATATCAATTGCACACTGCGAAGGAAGCCTGGCCTCAGCACTTCGTGATTGAGCCGCTTGGCAAAAGGATGTGGGGATGATGCTTGGTGATTGGTTGCTACAAAGTGACCTAAGCAAAACAATTGTAATCTGAGGGATCGACGTGGTACAAATATCTCCAAATTGTCCGGAAGTCGCTTTGTCAAATGGTTTCCTTGGGTGTAAATAATATTAATTCATAATATCTAGAGGATGTGAGATAGTTTGCCCTGGTCAGCTGATATCATTGATTGGTACATGTGCATGCATGTGTGTTCGTGTGTGTTTCTTCGTGTTGGTGATGATCAAGTTGGATCTCCATGTTGATAAGGCCTGCACGAGCCCAGGCCATCTTCAACTTAGCAACAAGACAAAATCTCAACCTTGAAAATTTCAACTAACATACACGGCTAGTTTTTTTTAACATGCATCATTACACAAACCGGCTTTTGCTGGCCCATTCCTGGCACAAGAACTACTAAGACGTCCACCGAATGCTCGGTTGACAGCACCCTCCCCAGAAAACAAATCGGCATTGACCAAATCCTGGCAGTCAGGGCGTGTGGAATACAGGTCCTACCCTAAACCCTCGGCAACAATATGCTACTGAGTTGATGACCCTGCGGCTTTGGGATATGGAAGAAGTCTCCACAACATAGTCCACGCAATGCAAACTCAGTTCTTTGTGCATTAGATCGTTTGTCTCACATCATGATACTGCCAATTGTGTCTCAACTGAGTCATAACTTGAAAAAAAAAAAAAAAAAAAAAAAAAAAAACAAAAAAAAAAAACAAAAAAAAAAAAAAAAAAAAAAAAAAAAAATAAAAAAAAAACAAAAAAAAAAAAAAAAAAAAAAAAAAAAAAAAAAAAAAAAAAAAAAAAAAAAAAAAAAAAAAAACAAAAAAAAAAAAAAACTTGAAAATTAATGGATCTAACACAGATCAGAAATGGGATCGGCTTGGGTCCTCGCTACCACTGCAACCAAGGGGCAAGATCAACGGAGCACCCAGCACCAAAAGCAGCTGTGCTGCTCTGGCACTCAAGGAGAGAGGGGATGTCTTGGGACGCCCCATGGGGAACGCTGGCAACTAGTAGTAGCTAGTAAATCCAAAAGGCTGCATTACTTATACAGAATTGATCATGACAGCAGGGATTGGCTTAATCGCTGCATGCTGCAAACTTGTTGACTCGCTCAGCTTTGCAAACAATTTAGCTTTGGCATCTCTGATTTTTCCGTCCCCCTAGGATGTGCATCGAGTCAATGCTAAGTCAGAGACATGGATTGGGACTGGAGCTAGCCGGGGCTTGATGCCATTGCAACCGACCCCAAAACATGAGAATTGTGCTAAATTGGTTTCAGAGTGAAATCATAATAATTTCATGAATATATGCGTTTTATCTTTTGGTTATTCTAGAAATATTATATTATATACTCAGCAGTGGCCTCAAATCCCCCTATGCCAACCAGTCGTTACGGCAGCTAACTAGGCAACAACTTCTAGTTGCTTTTTCCGCTTCCCTCACTTGAATCCGAATCACATGGCCCAATGGGAATCCAACCAGCCAACTTTTTGGCCATGGTCCACCTAGGCCCCACTAACTGCCACAGCACCAAGAAGCACAGTGCAAGATGCACATCTCAGGTTTGGTTTTGGGTTGATTTGTTCAATTCATATATAAAAACAATGTATGGGGATATAAGCTGTAAGGCCAGGGCCCGTTCTGAACTCCATGCTTGGATCATGCGATACTCACTCCCCTCTTCACATTGGCCTTAGATCCAAAAATAGAACTGCAAACCACCCAGTAGAACAAAATTGAAAGGGATGGAATACCCATGAATATCCATTAAGGCAGTACAAGAAACATTCAGAGCTGTGCCCATCTCTTCGTTGAGATCACACACACGCTGCTTGGGCACATTGTTCACAAAAAAGGTGCGAGAATTCAACCTCGGATCTTTTTTTTTAAAATCCCAAAGTTGTTTTATAGTAGTACGAATATGAGTTAAGGTGGTACTTTGTGTTGCGATGGGGCATGAACCACATTAAATCTTAGCCGCAAAACAACACTCCGATGGTTCCGGTGCTCGTAGAAGACACATTCTCCGGCGCCTTCAAAGTGAAGGTCCTTGGAATCGATGGGTATTAACCAAGATTGAATGTCATGTCATGGGGCCATGACTAGAGGATAATAATTAACCATACGAAGGCAACCATGAGAGTTGGAGCCTTTTTGGAAAATTGTCCGGGGACCCCACTTACGTGCTAGGTGTAGACCATCTTGATTTCCCTCCTTCACCTTCAAATGTGCTGCTTTGAGATCCTCTGGCAACTCAAACGTATCATCCATAGCTTCCAGTTCAGCAGCATTTGCAAGTGACTCTTCCTTGGCGTGAATTACTAGGAAGGTTGTTCATGATGTCCATGTCAGGTTTACATGGGATGGTCAATTCGATATGTAATAGGTTCAATATCGAGATCAAAATAAATTGATCCTGCTACACAAATTAGATATGTTTTTTGAAGATTGAAGATCAAATTGGCACATGGATACTATCTAAATTATCTACATCCCTTGGAGATGGGGGTCTTAGAGCCCTGGCTATTTTAGGGGCCCAACCTATAAACCGCACATCCGACCCCAAAGGTTTGGCACCATGCCAAGATGACCAATTTTGAATGACAAGATTAAACCCAGTATCGGTAACTTCGGGAGCTTGTCTTTTTTTTGCACCCTTTCCTTCACCCTTTCCGTCAACCTTTCCCTCACCTGTCTTCCCGTTCTTTTTCTCAGCAACATTGTCAAAGTCCAACCTTCTTCTCGCAGAGTCCCCAGTCTCCTCAGCCTTTGCCTTTGCCCGCTCCACAAACCGTTTCGAAGCTGAGTGGGCCAATTTCATGGGACTCTTGGTGGCTGCCTTATCTGCCTTCTTTTTTTTTTGGCTGGGCTCTCCTTGTCATCTTCATCTCTCTTCTCACTCTGCGACCTCTCCTTCTTCGTTGCCTTCTTTGTCGGCTCTGCATCATCCTCTTTCTCCTTTGCATCTGCCATCTCAGATTTCTCCTTCTTCTTGGCTTTCCCTGACTTGTCTTTCTGTTTCTCTTCCGCTTTATCTGCCGTCTTCTGTCCTTCTGGGTGTTGCTTTTGCTTCTTCTTGGGTCTGTCTTCGGGCTCCTCACTGTTTTCAACATCATCATCTTGCTTTGCATCATCCAGTTTCTTTGATCGGCCTCGTCCTCGTCCTCGTCCTTTTCCTTTGCCGCGTCCTCTGCCTCTAGCTGCTTTTCTGTCTTCGCTGTCCTCCTCTGCATCACGGAGCAGTCTGTCGTCATCATCTCCAGATTGATGCTCTTCTTCGCCTTCTTGGTCTTCTTTCATCTTTCTTTTCATTTTCCGTTGCGCTGCCACAATGTCGTCATTGGTTGTCCAACTCATGGCTCTGTGCGTCTTGTGCATCTCTCTCATGATTGAGTCTGCCTTCTCCTTCTGTTCTTCTGTGGGCTGCCTTTCGTCTTTGATCAGTGGTTCACCTCGGTCATCCATGAAAGTTGCAGCTTTCTCCGGCTCTTTGTCGTCATCTGAGTCGACAATGATGGAGGTACTGCTTGGGACATCTTTCTTGGCAGACTTCTCCTCACCTCGATGCTCCACAGTGTCCTTCTTTTTTTTCTTTTCACGCTTCGGCTTGGTCTGTTCTTCTCCATCTTCATCATTCTTCTGCTTTTCTTCAGCCTCACCTGCCTCCTCTGCTTTTTCATCTTTGGTCCTTCGCTTCGGCTTCTTTTCCTCAACTTCTTGGCGACCTTCTTTCACTGTCATGCCCTCTGTCTCTTTGTTTTTGTCTGCATCCTTGAACTTGTTCTTTTCCGAGGGCTCCTCAGCTTTCTTCTTCGTCTCTTGCTTCGGCTGCCTCTTCCGTTTGCCATCTTCGAACTCATCCTCCTCAACAGCCTCCTCCTCAACCTCATGTCCCTTGTACTCATCATTGTTCTCGTCCTCAACCAGCGGCATATCTTTCTTCTGTGCTTTTTGCTTCACATTCTCTTCTTCGGCTTCCCTCTTGACACCTTTCCTCTTTGGAGCATCTGCCACAGTGTTCTGTCTCGTCTTCTCTGCTTCCTTCACAGCTTTCATCTTTGGACCATCCTCTGCTGTGTTCCTTTTAGCCTTCTCCGCATTCTGTTCTTCTTCTTCCTTCTTTACAGCCTTCCTCTTTGGGTCATCCTCAACTTTGCTACCTCTGGTCTTCTCTGCATTCTCTCGCTTCACCTTCTTTTCCTCAACTTCTTGGCGCCCTTCTTTCGTTCTCATGCCCTCTGTCTCGTTGTTTTTGTCTGCATCCTTGAACTTTTTTTTTCCGAGGGCTCCTCGGCTTTCTTCTTCGTCTCTTGCTTCGGCTGCCTCTTCTCTTCGGTTTCTACATCTTGATCTTCGGTCTCCACATCTTCAACCATCGGCGCGTTTGCAACATCATCAGTCCTGTCTTCCTTCATTTTTTCTGCGGCCTTCTTGGCAACCTTCCTCTTCCCTTCAGTCTTCTCTGTCTCGATCTCCCTTTCAGCCTGTTCACCTTTCTTCTCCTTCTTCTCTTTCTTGTGGCTCTTGGGCTTGTCCTTCTTTGTCTTGCTTTCTTCTAAGTGCTGCGCCTTTCGAATCTTTTCCTTTGTCTCCTTTGGGCTTTCGTTCTCAACCTCTTCGGGTTCATCATCATCTTCTTGGTCTGACCTTTCATAGTGTTGAGTGGCGTTCATATCCTCCTCGTCCTCCTCCTCAGCTTCCCCCCAAACATCATCGGGCCAGGTGTCAGGCATGGGGAGTGTCTCCAGGTTGTCGGGGTTTTTGGTACCAGAGTCGGTCTGTTTCTCCTCGCCTTCAAGATCCTCACTTTCCTCTGCTTCTTGCATCTGCTCCTCTTCATCTTCCTCTTGGTCTTTCCCTTCATCTTGCTCTTTGTCTTCCTCTGAACCTGGTTCTTCCTCTTCCTTCTGGCCTTCTAGACGCCATTGGCTTTCCACAAAGTCCTGACATGAGAAGGGACACGGTTTTTGCAAGGTGGGATTCACTCGATGTAAAGTCGACTTTGGGACTTTGGGATATGGTTTTGGAGCAACTATCTATGATCTAGAATCGGATGTAAAAAATGTCTATAATAGCACACCTAGGCCCCAGCTAAAAAGAGGGTAGTGATTTTGTGTTGGGTCTCAGGGCTAGTTGGATGTCCTTTGCCGCATGTGGACCTCTGGTAGCCCTTTTTTTTCCGTCAGCTCGTAGCATGCCAACTGCCTGCCATGGCTCTGTGGGGGTTTGCATACTACATCCTTTCTTTCGTTTTTGGGGATGTGAGGATTGATGGGCCAAAGCCGCTGTGTTAACTCTTTCATGCGATATATGAATTTTGGTTTGGTAATATCATGAACAATGTGCTAGCGCATTGTTGCAGGCCTCTAATTTGGCACGAATCACCGACCGGATTTTCTGCATGCCCTCGTGTCCGCCCCTGGGCACAAGTGGAAAACAGACAAAAACATTTGGGTTACTTGCTGATGGATCGACATACTGTTGGTTTAGTGAAAATTTGCATTGACCTATAAATCACAATCAGTAAGGAAAGCACCGGGAATTGCTTGACTTTTGAAACCTTCGCATGCAGTAAGCAGCCATGGCCCTTTGAACTCCACTTTCAACACCAGCCCAAGCCTAGAATGCACAATGGGGTGGAAAGCCTGCTATTGCAAACAATTTTGAAGAAAGTATTCTCTCTCTTGGATCATATGCAGTGGAAGTAGTCCTAATAAAGTTGAGCAGCACGGTGCTCAGCTTCGGAACCAAATTGCGGATTTAGCCCAAAGGTCATGCTGACCCAGGTTAGGGCATCCTGCCACACAAACTGGTAGGATAAGGAGAACATGAAACAAAATTAGAATATATTTAAGATGTATGGATTTGGAAATTCGCCATGAGCACAACCCCAAGGTCCTCAGACTCCACATCCGTTGGCAGCCGCTCGCAAAACTGCCCCAAGTATTCCATCAGGAAAGCTAGGTTTTCTTTTTGCTCCACCTAGCGCACAATTAGGACGCAATGTTTGGTTCGAACTGAGATATGCATGGGTAAACATGACATGTAAAGCCACCTGTTCCAACCAGCCTCCATCTCAATCACATTATCCCCTTTAGCAAAGCGGGTCACGAAGGTGAACGGAGGGACCTCAAATTGAAACAGATTGGAACAATTTGGAAGTGAGAACAGATGGAAACCGAATTGATAGATCAGGATAATTGCTGGTGAACCACATTGAACTGATTCTGATTGAAATGGGTAGTCAAGATACAGCCTGGTCTCTTTTCCCGAGACCTGCCCTCTGCCGTAAGAGCTTCCTCCTGGACGCAATGTAGTCATCGGTGCCAACGATCTCTTTGTAGAATACCTAGGCAGTAAAATCAGTAGTATATTAATTATATATTGTATGATCCATGATTTATCAGGTCCCAAAGTGGCAGGCCATATCAAGACCAAAATCATCATCATTCATAATCTATTACCCTGGAAGTCGGGGGAAGTTTTGAAGGTCTTGGCTGGGAGGACGTTATATACACTAATAATCTATAAAAAAATGAACTTTGTCAGAATGTGACCATACCAGAGGTGACAAGATCCATTATGATCCATTCTATCTTGGGAATTTTCCAGATTCCAGAACCATTTGCAAAATTCTGTCCCCAAGATAGAATGGATCATGATCCCCAGATCTTGTCACATCCCCATCCACAGAGGATCCACCTGCCGTCCAGCCACCTTCAGGAGAGAGACGCGGTCTTCACTGCAACATGCGCTTGCCATTGGAAAAGCAGCGCTGCGGGGGCGGTGACAACCACCAAGCTAAGTTGGAAAAGTATGACCGGGAAAGTGTTACATTATCATGATCGCTATGATTTCATTTACCATCATAATCTATAAATTATAAATAGAACCATTTTAATTACCCTACGTCAGTGTTGAGACTATGCGATTTGCAATTGTCAGTGCACATGGCTTGAACCCGATCCTGGTGTATCAAACAGATGGGTTCACACGAATAACAAACAACATGCATGATAAGCATCTCACTAGAAAGAGAAGGGGGGTGGCACCTTCTGAGTGTGGAAGCTGGGGCTGCAATAGATTCCGATCAGCCACCAATCCTGAAAGTTGGTATCCCATGTCCAACCAGCGCAGTTTCATCTCCAAAAAGACATACTTTCACTGCTATAATGGATTGATTTCTGAGGCTGCATCTTCTGCGCAATGCGCTTTTGATCTTCATGATGATGTTGTCCCAATTTCACCTTGGATATGAAAAAACAAGGGAACCTATATAGAATAGGTGAGTTCATTTCAGTTGGTGTAAAGAGTGGCCACCCATGCCATCACCTGGATGCAGCCCAAGGCACCCAGGCCCAGTTGTCCATGGGTAGAATCAGCCGCCCACAGAAAGCGATATCGATACGGGGTATATCGGCCAACATTGCCAGCCACGGGCGCCCAGAAAGGCAACCAAAGTTGTTGATTTTGGATCTAATTGGATTGTCATTTGAAAGTTTAATGTGTCCAAACTAGATATGGTATAATTTGGTATATAACATATATTAAACCGGGGATAAATTGGACAATCTTTGAATGATGTTGGATGGAAAAGGTCTGGGTACATCTCTCAAATGTTTTGCTGAGACATGTTGTGATCCCACATAAATTGTACGATCCCAGTAATTGCTAATTTGAGCACCTGAAAACATCGAAGATCAGCATCCCTGAAAAGTCATGAAAGGTCTTTCGTGGATAATAACGTCCTCCCAGCCAAGACCCTTTTAAAAACGTCCCCTGACTTCCAGGGTATATATATAATTATATATATACATACATACATACATACATACAAACATTTTAAGGTTACCTGACATATCGATTCGCACATGTTTTCCCAAGTGATCTACCTCGCTGTGGTCCGCCAGTTCCAAAGTTCCAAGGCACTTCTAGGCTGCGTGGACGTGGAAGCGTGCTGGAGCCAGAGCGAGTCGGGAGACTTAGGGGAAATTTGGAGTACCCTTAGCAATCCTTAGCATCCAACTACCATATGTCATAAACTATTGGTTTAATATGGTTTAGAGACAAACTTCTTTACCTCAGTTAACAAACAACATTGTGGTCATTAAGCAATGGAAATTGGTGTGAAGTGTGAACCAACAAGAAATGCTTATTTGCAGGAATCAGCAAGAATTGCAGAATTCACCAGCAAGAGAAAACATATTTTGCAACAAACATAAGCTCTATGAGATAAGACAGCTTGAACCACATTTCTTGAAGTCTCCAAATCCAATACCTAGCAGACCTAGCATTATGAGTCCAACAACACAGATAATACATGGCTTTGGCTTTACAGGAAAACCACATAAATAAAACAAAGAAAAAACAAAACCAGAGCAAACACAAAAAAAACAAACCAGAACACATCAGAAAACCAAAAACAAAAAACAAAGAATTGAACTTGAAATTGACTTGGCAACTTGGGGACTTCCGGCCATTTGACAGATTCATTCCTCGTGGAGTTTGCCAGGGACACAGTTCTTGAGAACCGGCAGGTCAAGGAATCCTCGACCAAGGCCCTAGATTGCTAGAATTTTGTGGCGTTTCCACATCCGCGCAGTCCACTGATGCCATTTTGGCAAGTACCATTTTTTTTCAAAAGCATTGATGGCCGAAACTGTGTGACATGTTTTCTCACTAATTACCGGTGAGATGCACCAGCGCGCCTTTTGATCTTTTGCTTGTTTTGCATTCCTCTGAGCAGGCCGCAAAACAGGGGTTAGTCTTTAATGTCGATCTGTTTCTGACGTTTTCACACCTATGATCGCCTATTTTGTGGCATTCCCGTTGAAGTGCAGGGGAGAGCGAGCATTTGGTCACTGACGTCAATATATCTACTGAAACTGTCTCTATACATACACAACTGTGTATATATTTATATATATATAATATTAAATAATATGATATATATATATATATATACAGATATAGATTAAATTATAGATAAACATAGGGGACATAGACAAGCAATGTATATATGTAAACCATGAAACATATATTACCATGCCATACTTGTTGCGGCAACATGTATGTCTACATCGTCCCTCGGTGGCTGTTGAAAATCAACGCAAAACATACCCATAGGATCCATGGTGCTGGTATATATACTAACATTGGGTGTATATTGATGGGATCCATGATACCATATATAGCAGCACCATGGATCCTATGGGATATGCAACTCCACTCCGCTAGGTCACAACAATTCCCCAAAACAAACTCAAACAAACCACAAATCCAGGATGCAAAGAAAATCAAAGAAATCCGCCCAAACACAAATTGCAAACACAAATGCAAATCCAGGATAGAATCAAATCCATGAGTGAAACACTGCCAAGAATAGATTGTAAAAACGAATCACCATGCAAACCAATGCATACTAAAGTATAAACAATGCAAAACAAAAACACAACATGTTCACATCCCTACCAGGGACGCACCTTCACAAAACATAGGGACATAGGGGTTTAACCAATAAGAATGGATGTTCCATTAACATAAATGGTGTTTCAAGCAAAATGGAGGTTGTTTCGACAACTCAAATATGGTTCAAATCCCCTTTTTCTTGTTTTCAGAACACCAACTTACCCTCTGGTAATTTAACGTAGCTATGGAAAATCACCATTTTTAATGGGAAAACTCACTATAAATGGCAATTTTCAATAGCTACGTTAAATTACCAGAGGGTACCTATTTCTGGGGGCCCCTCCCACGGCTGCGGCCACTGCATGTGGTGGCACCTGAGGTACGCCAGTGTCCTGAAGAAGAACCCTGACATGCCACAGGTGCCCGGGGTCAATGTGGTGGCTACAACAGGGTCACGGATGAATCAAGGATCCTCATACCCCATAGGATCCATGTATGGTATATATATATATATGCTAACATTGGGGGTATATTGATGGTAAATGTTACCATATGCAGCATACATGGATCCTATGGGTACTGTTTCAATTATTCCATGGTGTTGTAAAGTTCTCAACATGTAATTTGGAATGTTGTTGCATAATCTTCCACAGAAGTTTCAAGAAGTCACCGAAATGCTAGTGTAGTAGTGGTTGGAGCCTTGACAAAAAAAGTCATGTTGAGAAAATCTATCTTTTGTGGATCACTCGAGTTGACCTCCATGAGTGCCTGTGCGAGAACTGTCAGCATACCCCATAGGATCCATGGTGCTGGTATATATGCTAACATTTGGGGTATATTGATGGGATCCATGGAGCACCATATTATATAGCAGCACCATGGATCCTATGGGTATTATCAACCATTGTCAACCATAACTCACCATTATTAACCATTATTAACCATTGTTATCCCAGTATTAACCCAGTTTCTTCGAGGTTTTTCTCACTGTTCTGATGTTGATCCTTTTCTGAGTACTGGCGTGGTGACCTTGTGGGTGTCGTCATAAGTATCTTTCTGAATCGACCTTTACAATTGCGGATATGTGTGGTGTACTTGGTGGTGAACTACCCACGGCTCGTAAGTGGGTTAGTTCACCCCAGTGATTTACATGGGATAAGTAGGGTTAATCCACTTATAACTGGGGTTATAACCCACTTACTAAGTGGGATGAATCGGATTGACCCTGAAAATCTCGGATCTAGGGTTTCCCTATTGATAGGTTGTGTGGTGTTTTTTTTGCAGGGAGGTTAGTGGTTTCTTGCGCAGTGGATAGGTTGATGGACCTTTTCAGACAAGAGCAATCAGAAACCGTCACTAATCTCCATACTTGGTGGTTCATCCCACGGCTCGTAAGTGGGTTATAACCCCAGTTATAAATGGGATAAGTAGGGTTAATTCACTTATAACTGGGGTTATAACCCACTTACTAAGTGGGATGAACCACCAAGTATGGTTTCTCAATCGGATTGACTCTGAAAATCTCGGATCTCGAACCCTATTGATGCAGAAAAACCCTCCAGGAAACATCTTCATGCCTAGCTGAAAATAATCCATTTCTACAAGGTGGTGCCCTCTAGTTATGTTTGTTGCTTTGCAACTATAGTAATAATCGCCATAAAGCCTATAGTTGATCTATTTGTATCAGATTTATATAAAAGAACTTAGCAAACTAGCGAACTGAGGCACCACCTTGTATATATTGGTAGAAGTGACCGTAGCTATTCGATATAGGGTCTCAGGGATTTTCCATCGCCGCGTTCCATTGACAGTGGACGACTACAAAGGAAACTTCAGGGTATCAACTGGTTTGGATAAAATGAACAAGGTGGTGCCCCCCCAGTTATAAATTAGTTTATAGCCCCCATAAAGTATATATAGGTATATCTACTATAAACCCGAGTTTTTGGAGTTATGAACCAGCTTAGCTAACTATGGGGCACCACCTTGAAGGTATCGAACGGCAGGGTACCTGGATTAAAAATCCTGCCTTTTAGTCTTTTCTGTTGACAAACATAATTCCATGAATCACTGAGGGGCCACTATTTGCAACTGGGTGTATAGTCACCCATAACCCCAACAGTTTGCTCGATTATTTGAATCATCTTGTCTGGTAGTGCCACCCCCACCGCTTACTTTTGCTGGTTTACAAACACACACTTAACTAATCTTCACTATAGATATCTCCACCATACGTCCCAGAGTTCACCTACATATGTCAACCAACTTAGTTATAGGGCACCAACTTGCACCCTACAGAAAACACAGTCATTCCACCTAGATGGTCCAAGGACTTAATGAACTGATTAGATCTGATTAGTTCAAGTGGATTACAGCCCACTTTCATATTAAGCAGTTCACTAGCTCTACCAGTTGGTGCCCCATAACTAAGTTCTTTGAGCCCGCATTGACTGTAGTTATTTCATCACCATAAACCCTCTAGCTGGTTGGTGGTTTGGAACATTTGGATTATTGTTCCATATATTGGGAATTTCCATCCATCCCAACTGACGAACTCACTCCATCATTTTTCAGAGGGGTTAGCAGCTCAAAACCACCAACCAGCCATAATTAACCAATGATTAACCATCATTAACCGCTATTTTCACCACGTGATTAACCATTATTCACCATTATTAACCACCAACCACCAACCAGTGATTTCACCAGGTAAAATTATCCATTATTAACCATTATTAACCATTATTAATCATTATTATCACCATTTTTATATTTCTCGGTGATCGTCACCGTCTCATCGTTTCCCGCCAGGAGGAGAGCGAAAGCGACTTCATCTTCTGGTGCGACGGCGGTTTTTTCCTGTGGATCGATGCGTTGGCACCAAATGGTTGGTTAATAGTGGTGGTTAATTGTGGTTAATAGTGGTTAATAAAGGTTCATAGTGGTGAAAATAGTGGTTAATAGTGGTTAATAGTGGTTAATAGTGGTTAATGTGTAAAATCACTGATTGGTGGTTAATAGTGATGGTTATAAAATGGTGGTTTTCATAGGCTATAAACCAACAACAATGAGAATATGATGGTGATCTGGTTGGTGGTTTGGAACACTTTTTATGTTGCTATATATTGGGAATAATCATCCCAACTGACTTTTATATTTTGCAGAGGGGTTCAAACCACCAACCAGATGTAAAATCAATGTATGTATGGAGACGTCCTTCGCAAAGTCGCGTTCAGCTATCTTACATGGCAAGTTTTGTTGTCCAGGTTGATATGTCATCGACCTATGTTTAGAAATGCATGCAATTGGCTTTCAGCCCTGCATGGTGTCCATTTGAATTTTGATATGTGTGTGTGCCATGACCAACACATTTTTTGGTCAGCACTTTGAACTGTGTCCCGTACGAATGGCAGACTCGCACCAAATGGACAAAATCCATTTTTTTTGGATTCATCCCATTGTTCATCTTGATTAATCCACCAACATCTTGATTTTATGGAACACATGGACAAAATATGACAATGAACTCCATTCTTTTCTGGATAACATTCTAATCTTTGCCATCTCAAGATTTCTCCACATTTGGTGAACTGAAAGCTGAGGAACATACCACAGAAAACTCCACATTTTTTTTGGACGGTGAATCCGATAGGTTTCCGTATTATTTCTTGACCGCTTAAATTCTTTACGTTCGGAATCCCGAAAAAATGCATCTTCAATGACGTTGGTAAATGATCTAAATTTGTTCAAATGACGTTGTGTTTTTTTTCCTAATTAGTCATCCCATTGTTCATTACATCCCCATATTGGATTTATGTTTTTTCATCACGTTGAATCCCAGCTTTCATGAGAGAACCCCAACTACTATTCTTGATGGTTAGCCGATTTCTGGAGCCGCTGGATTGAAACAAGTTTTGCTGCTTAGATTCACCAGTTGTCTGTGAAAAATAGAGAATTTCCCTGAATTTCCATCATGTTTGATGGTATCCGCCACATCAATTCCTGAATTTTGATCCATTGAGTCAAACTTCAGCTTTTTGTTGTGCCGGAGGTGTTTGAGACCACGACGTTTGTTGGTGCCATTGAAGATGGGTGGCGACCACAAGGCGCTTCAAAAAATCGTTCTCGAAAAACTCGGTTTGTGGATGCTTTGATCAGAAAAATGTGAATTTGCAAGAAACAGTGGAATTAGTTCACATTTTTGTGATGCTTTCTCATCATTTCACAATTGTTCCTATGTAGAGTTCAAAAAAATCAAAAGAAACAGTGGAATCAGTTCAACCACGGGGTTTAAGTAGCTTAATTGGTAACTGCACCAAGAACACATGGGGATTGAAATCAGCCAAGAGAAACGGGGACTTACGCAATTGATAAAGAATCAGACTTACCATCTGGTTATGACATTCACAGTTCGCCATGGAAAGATCCACCATTGTTAAGAACGGTAAACCTCTATTTCTATGTGCCATCTATACCATGGCGAACTGTTAGTCATAAGCAGATGGTAATATCCCATATCATCCCATGAAATTCACCATTTTCTAACCATAGAAAATCACCATTTTCCTAGTGGTTAGTCATAACCAGATGGTAAATCCCATTGCTTTTTAGCAAGTAGCAAACATTACCAGGCCGTGCTAGGATGATCCAACTGAGATGAGACAGTCTCAACAACCACAATGAACAAATGCCCAAGCCTCAGTGAATTGTCATCATGAATGATTCCCATCGTGTGATGTGATGTCTTGCGGTATACACGGTGTACAGTAATACATACTAATACGAACAGCACCCCCCGGAGTCGAAGAGTTATTTACCTGTGTGTTAATAGTTTTGTTTTGTGTGTGTGTGTGTGTCAATGGCAATTTGAGTCATTGACCATCATTGACCTATTTATCAGAACCGGTTGGTGGTTTTCCATTTCATACATGGGATGTCATCCTTTCAATTGACTCATATTTTTCAAGATGGTTAAGTCACCACCAACCAGAATATGTCTAGATGTGTTACCCTCTGGTAAACATACAAAAAACCATGGACAAATCACCATTTTTTCATGGCTAAATCTTACATAACTATGGAAAATCACAATTTTTCATGGGTAAATCCACGTTTTCTATGGCCATGTTCTGCCTCTTTTTTGGCGTTGGCAACGTTGGCGAAGCGCGAAGCTCGCGCGAAGCGCGCCGCCAGATTTGGAGATTGGAGAAGTCGTCCCTGGCTCCAGCTCAGGCGGCGCTGGGATGGGATGCGTTGGTCTGGAGATTGCCTCCGGGAAACCAACAGTTTGCTATTGAAAATGGCCCATTTATAGTTATGGTGGATTTAGAGTGGATTTACCCATTGAAAATTGTGGATTTACCCATTGAAAATGGTGATTTATAGTTGATATTTACCCATTAATAGCATGGTGATTTTCCAAAGTTATGTTGCTTAGCAGGGAATGAGGGAATGAGGGAATGATCCATAATCACTACGTTTAGCACCAGTAAGAAAAATATTTCTTGAATTCAAAAAATGTTCAGACATGCGTCTGTCTGAAGATAGCTAAGTTGATTGAAATCACTTGGTTATTTGGGGGTTTAAAACCAGCTTATATCTGGGGGGTCGGCTTATAGGATACTCCTCAATCCACATCCATTGGTTTCTCATTTTGGATTTCCAATTTGAGTGATATAGTGGCATAGTGGTATACAGTACCCCATTTTGAGACTGGGATGTATTGGGAAGCTCCTCAAAAGATTCTAGAAATGATTCCCATGGCAAGGTGCACTGGACCGTTTTGGATCACCCCTGCCAGTACAGCAACGCAAAGACTTCACTGTAGATAGTAACAAGGTACATAGGGGAGACATCAATTCCAGGAATATGCATGTTTCAGGTTCCTTACGAGCCTACATTTGTATAATATGATATAATATATACAATGCAATGTTTCAGGTTTGTTCAGGAATGTTCCCTGCAATGCGTATATATATACATGTATATACATTGCAATTGGTTATCTGGTTGGTGGTTTGGAACATGAAATTTACTGTATGACTTTCCATATAGTGGGAATTTCATCATCCTAACTGACGAACTCCATCATTTTTCAGAGGGGTAGGTCAACCACCAACCAGTTCTGGTAAACTAACATAGCTATTGAAAATCTGCATGTTTCAGTTCCGCTACGAGCCTACATTTATATTCTATATACATTACAAGTGATGATGTTACACCTGGTTTGAATATATGCAGTGCGTGCCGTGTTCCTGGGTCGACTTGGATGGACAATTGAAACCAGTTGCTTTGTGTGTGTTTGTTATTAGTAGTGAGTACGTATCGTACATCTGTTGCCAACCAGCTATACATATATATATATATAACATTATACATTGTATTTTATATATATATATATATATGTATTACATTATATTATATTATATTATATTATATTATTTTTTTAATTTAATCATTATATTATATTATTTTTTTAACATTATATTATATTTTTTGTTGTATTATATTTTATCATATTATATTATATTATATTCCATCGCATCCTGTCAAATATCACATTTATTGACCCACTAAATTCAATGAATATCAATGAACAGGCTGTAAATTCCCATTATTCATGCTTAAAGCTCCACTAAACAGCAAATTGAAAATAAGAGTTGTTCATAGTATTTCTTCATTATTCCCTTGTGTTTGTAGATTATCCTCATTAAAACTAGGGAAAGACCAACTTTTTAGTTTATTAGTTCATCAGATTTTTATGTTTATTTCTTAGTTTATTAGTTGATTCTCTGTTTTAATGTGTATTTCGTCACTATTCCCTCATTAAATCCCGCATATTTTTGATGCTTAAACCATCCCGGTAGCTTTTCTTTCCCTCGCCACCTTTGCCAGCGCGGCTTGCAAGCGGTGCGATGGCCCAAACCCCTCGACGACGAAAAGTCCATGGCATCGTCTGGGAAGCCGAGGAATGGTTGAGAGGGTGAGACGTGGCCAAGAATTGTGCTCTACCATCTGGTATACCATCTGGTTATGACTAACCACTAGGAAAATGGTGATTTTCTATGGTTAACCATCTGGGAATCATTGATGATGGGAATCATTCATGATGACAATTCACTGAGGCTTGGGCATTTGTTCATTGTGGTTGTTGAGACTGTCTCATCTCAGTTGGATCATCTTAGCACGGCCTGGTAATGTTTGCTACTTGCTAGAAAGCAGTGGGATTTACCATCTGGTTATGACTAACCACTAGGAAAATGGTGATTTAATGGTTAACAATGGTGAATTTCATGGGATGATATGGGATATTACCCTCTGGTTATGACTAACAGTTCGCCATGGTATAGATGGCCCTAATCGAAATAGATGGTTTACCGTTCTTAATAGCATGGTGATTTCCCATGGCTATGTTACATAATCAGATGGTATCTCTACTATAAATATCTACAAATCCATGATTCATGATTTTTCTAGTGATTGATGGTGATTTTAATGGGATAGAATGAGGATATAATATTGATTAATGTGATCATAATGGGGATAACCATCTGGGCAAATTTAATCACGACCTCACTGTGACCTCACTGGAATCGTGGTTGGCAAGGGGAATCATCCCCAAATGGCGCGCAAATTCAGGTTAGTGAAGTATTATGACTTACCCAGAATCTATCTCGACTATAAATCCAATGATTAGATATATGTATATACATATATATATATATATATTATACAAGTAGCATGGGGCACCAACTTGGCTATGGGGCATCACCTTGCCCCCTACAGGAAACACCGTCATTCCACTTAGAATCTATGGATGGTCCAAGGACTATGTGGTCTGATTAGTTCAAGTGGATTATAGGCCACTTTTTCCCCCAGATATCAAGGGGTCTATTCACCAATTAACAGACTCTACAAGGTGGTGACAGTGTTGACCCAGGTAGGAATTGCTACCCTTCTTGGTAATTTAACATAGCTATTGAAAATGGCTATTTATAGTTGATTTATCCATTAAAAATGATGATTTTCCATAGTTATGTTAGTTTAGCAGAGGGTAAGTTGCTGCAAATAACTAGGTTCACTGTCCACTGTTGGGTTTATGCTGATGAAATAGCTACAGGGTAGGTCTAGCCACCTTGCTGGGAGGTAGTGAACTGATCAGTAAGTGGATTATAAATCATCGCCTTGTAAAGGGATTTCAAGGCAGTAAAAACCAAGTCCATGATTCATGATCTTTACCCTCCGGCAATTGAACAGTTTGCTATTTAAAATGGTCATTTATACTTGATTTACCCATTGAAAATTCGTTGGTGATTTTCCACAGTTATGTTAGTTTAAGGGTAGAAGCTCTGTTTCGGAGTTTGTCAGTTCAATCCCCATTTCTTATGATTAAATTCCATGCGTGTGTGTGTGTGTGACTAAAATGGCTATAATTGTTTTTTTTTTTTTTTTAAACTGTCGTATGTGTGGCTTGAATCCCTGTTGTTGTTAGCTGAATTCCAGTTCTAGTTGGTTTGACTGTTCCTATTTGGTCCCTCAAATGAGTCTTCTTATGCCGGTTCAGGGTCATGGCGTTCGTATGTGAGAAGCGCTAGTTTTGGACGACCAACATATTCATGGTGAGCAACACTTGACCAACGCTTCACCAAATGCTTGAAGCTGATCCAATGATTTTTTGGCAATTGTCAAAATATGCCAAGATCATTAAACATCTCACAATGAGTCTCTGTTTATAGCACATTTTACATTGACACTGCCATAATAATCATCATGATTATTGATACTCCAACTGGTTTTGTTTTTCAACCATATTCAATGGCCATTTCAAGATCCTACCATATATAAGGCCTATGTAAGGCCTATGTAAGGGAATATCCCCACAAAATATGGCCTTATATGGTACAGTACCTCCATTTTAGGATCCTGGAATTCCCATTGACATATTTTATATTGTTGACTCCACTGTATACGGCGTTGTCACATCACGCTCGGATGATCCTGAGAATTCATGTCCGAGATCATCCAAGTATGGTCGGGGTCAGGGTCAATATATTTTTTCACTAATACCCATAGGATCCATGGTGCTGCTATATATGGTGCTCCATGGATCCCATCAATATACCCCATTTGTGTTAGCATATATACCAGCACCATGGATCTTATGGGATAGATACCTTAATGATCTGGATTTCATGCTAAGCCTTCGAATTTCCCGGCCCAAATTTTCATCACCCGCGTCGGCAAAGGCCGGCGATCGAGAAGACAGGCACTTTGGGGCAAACCATACTTGGTGGCTCATCCCACGAATCGTAAGTGGGTTATAACCCCAGTTATAAGTGGATTTACCCTACTTATCCCATTTATAACTGGGATTAAAAACCACTTACTAAGTGGGATGAGCCACCAAGTATGGAGATTAGTGACGGTTTCTGATTGCTCTTGTCTGAAAAGGTCCATCAACCTATCCACTGCGCAAGAAACCACTAACCTCCCTGCAAAAAAACACCACACAACCTGTAGTTTGGCTGGGTAGATTAGTGATAATCATCAACCCCTATAATCTCTACAAGGTGGTGCCCCATAGTTAGCTAAGTTGGTGAACATAACTCCAATAACTATGGTTTATGGTACTTATAACTATAGTTAATGGGGTTTATAAACCAACAAACATCACTGGGGGGCACCACCTTGTATATAATTTCATGCCCAGTTCATATTAAACACCCCCCATGGTCCCAGAATGTTCCCGAGTAAACCAACTGATTTCTGGAGGTGTTTCATATGGTGCTCGTCCCGCGAATCGTTCTAGTTATGTGGATTAACCATGAGTAACCCTACAAAAATCCCACTTCATTGGGGTTTTTTACGCTACCCTCTGGGAATTTATATAACATAGCTATTGAAAATGGCCCAGTGGAAATAGTGAGTTTTCCCATAGCATGGTGATTTTCCATGATTTTCCATAGTTATGTAAACGTTTACCAGAGGTACTTACTAACAGGGATGAGCCACCAAGTATAGATGTTCAACCTAATCGGGATGATCATCGTGCAACAAGACTTCATCGCAGAGGAGCTACGGCCGCCAAATGACCGCCGCTAGGCGTGTAGGGTCCAAGCTGAGCCAACGGCGTCCAGTTGGGCGGATGCAATGGAATAGATTGAGTTGTATCGACGATATGATATGTGTTGTCATGTGGTAATCCGCGCCCCAACTTATGACCATTTAATGGGACAATCATAATTATTATCTATATTTTAAGATGTTCGTATCCTATTCCTATGTCCCATCATCATGATTAATGAAATTAAATATAGTTATATGGGATAATCCTTCCAATTGACTTTCATATTTTTCAAGATGGTTAAAACCACCAACCAGATAATGTTGGTTTTGAATAGGTAAACCATCTGTAAATGGACCATTTTCCATGCCTATGTTAAATAACCAGAGGGTAAATCCATGTAAATCCCATTGTCATCCCATGAAATTCACCATTGTTAACCATTAAATCACCATTTTCCTAGTGGTTAAATCACCATTTATTGGATCCATGAACTAATCATAATCCAACTGCCATGCTTAAATGGAGAGCAACATTTATTGCCTGGTGGATTGAAGAATCACTGGTGGTTTTCCATCGGGATGATCCCCAGTTGACGAACTTCAAAGATATTTCTAGGAGCTTGAAACTATCAACCATTAAATGTGGTTCAATGTCTCTCTCTCTCTCTCTATATATATATATATACATATTCCATTGTATATGATATTATACTATATAATACTATAATATATATATATATACATCTATATTATATACATGCATATATATATATAACACATACAATTCTCTGGAAGAGAGAGAGAGAGAGATTCAAGTGAAATCATGATGTCAATGGTGATTTCACCAAAACTGACCTCAAGTCAGGCTGGAAAAAAATGGTCGGTTTTGTCCCATATTGCAAGCAGCCCCTGGGACAAAAGAACTCTGAAGCTGTAAGGATAATAGCACCAACAGAAGGACAAGATTCTATAATTGTATATAATTGTAAAATCAAGAGAGTGGGGATTCACCCCTTGATGCTTCAGGCCCAGCTATTTCCTGAAGCGAAACGAATGTTTCCTGGAAAGTTCCCCGAAACCACCAGAATCATCCTAGCTGGATGCTCGTCTCTACTTGAACTCGTGTTTGTTTGAATTCGTCATGTGCCTTCACCAGTAGAAATCAGAAAGTAAAAAAGACGGTTTTACGTAGGGGGTGATTTGGGGATTTTGGGGAACAGTCTGAACGATTCGAATGCCAGAACGCCGAATCAGCGGCATGGACAGCTGACATTCACATAGCAGAAAAAACATGGGCCATGTTGATTCCTGTTTATGGTCGCGTCAAGGATACCAGTTCGTATGGGTCGCAGTCTTGGGCCCAATGTGGCATGTACAATGCAGAATAAACCGTTCCTTCTTATCAACCATTGGTGCCTTACAAAAAACTCTCCTAAGTAGTTGTAGACTGTTACCACAAATTGGGGGTGATCTTTTATTGTGAACCCCCCCCATTGCCATACATGTATGTTATATGTTACGGAAAGCTCAGGGTACCTCCCCAAACGTACCAGAAACGGGAATAGGGGTGTACTGGTCCCCTGATATGATATAAGTCTATGCCCGGAAACATAATCATTGTTATTTGATAACCTCAATCATTGCTTATATATGTATTTGATATAATACAATGTAACCCTTCTTTGTTGTTCTTTGTTGGGGTGTTAACATGGATGAGAAATCTATTGACTTATCTTCTTTGTGCCGCGCTGTGGGCCAAATGTTTTGACCCACCTTGTTGGCCATGTGACAGATATGGCCCTCGAAGCTTTGTGAAGGGGTGAAGGAATACTTCATAGCCCACCGAAAAATGACTACTCATGTGCGGTCAATGATATAAACTTATAGCGAGCTACTAAGCTATATGGACTACGCATTTCATAGGGATAAACGCTTTTAGGGGATGGTCATCTCAGACAATCAATATATAGCTATGACAAGACTTGTCAACAAGCACATGCTGGTGGAATTCAAGCAGGGGTCCGTGGCCTTCTAGCATACTTGG